GGTAGAAACAAGCATTAATATTAAAATAAATACACTTAACTCATGACAAATGAACAAACATATATTAAAAATATCAAAACTTTTAGAGTATGAAGATCACATCCAATCCCTAGAGTTCTAGTCGTTCATGGCATACATTACGATAAGAAAATGCAAGGAAAAGAGATAGAAATTAGTTCTCTAATGGTTCTTGATCACTTTCCCAAGCTTCTCCACTGCTCTGCAATGTCAAATTAGGTCACTCTGTACTGAGATTTCAATTTTGGCTCTCTCTTTTCGAGCTGAATCTTCTATTTTTGTAGGGCAATAAGTGAATTCTCACTCAAGCGAAAAATAATCAAAGAGAAAAGTCTATTGCAGGATTTCTCGCTCAAATTCTCGCTCGGGCGAGGACCACTTTCGCTCAAGTGAGAAAATCAACCAAAACAATTGTATGAATTCTACATTTCTCACTCAAGCGAGGGAATTCTAGCTTAAGCGAGACTTGAAAATTTGGGCGACTTCAGCAAATCTGTCTCATCCCAAATCATAAAAAATAGAAAACAACTCAAAATCTAGTAAATCATATATGCATTTTGAAGTCCTGCATGTGTAACACCTTGAATTTAATTTCCAAAATAAATAAATTTCGCAATAAGTGAGAATAAATAAAAAATTTCATTCAATTAGTTCCTAACACATGGTTTCAATAAAGTCTTTCAAAATAAGGATGGATTATAAGTTTAAATCAAATCAATGCTACAGGACTAATTTAAATACATCAAGATTTTCAAAATAAATTTCTAAGTCGTATAGCAGTTTTATTCATCCCTTCACTGAATCCGATGCTGATCGTCTTGGTCACTTGAAAAATAAATGTAAGGGTGAGTACTCTACACTAGCACATACAAGTACAAAGACTCACCTCACCTTGCATATTTCACAACAATTACTAATATGATAAAATTACATTTAAACAAGCATCAATCCATTACTTTCAATAATGCTCACACATAATTACACATCAATTCACACATAGGTGCGCTCACTGCACCTTCAATCATTTCACCCAACACGTGTGTTTACTGCACGTTAGTCACGCTCATTGTGGTACTGTGATTACAGATTCTTTATGCCCTCAACATCAGGAACTTACTCAGTTCACACCATGGATAGTCGTCAGATAGCTTCCGCTCCACGGATACAATGTGTGTGGTACTTAGGGGCGGCCTAAAGCCCAAGCAAGTAAGGCAAGGGCTTTAGGCCCCCAATTTTTTTTTTCATTTTATTATACTTTAAAAAAATTTAAAAAATTAAATTTAAAAATAGCTTTTAATTTAGATATTTTAAGTAATTATTAACTTTTCATTGATATTGTAAATAATATTTAATGAGCTGTAACTCTTAACCAATAGATAATAAACATTTTTTAATTTATTTTTTAAAAAAATAATTGAATAGCAAAGAAAAAAATTGAACAGATTTTTACTTTTTATTTAATTGTTACTTCTTTCTTTTTTCTTTCTCTAACTACTATTTTCTTGTTCAATTTTGCTTCAATTTGTATTTTTTTTACTAACAACAACCTTGGTGTAGAAGTGGAGGAGGAAACAAAGTCTTCTATTTTTCTAACGCATAACCATTGGTACGAAACCTTTCATTTTCTCAATGCAAAGGCACTGGTAAGAGTCTTCCCTTCATTACTCATCCTTTATTACTCACACCTATTAAACAATATTTCGCAGTTTCTTTGTAAAACTGTCACTTTTGGAGGCGTAGAGATTGCAAGTGTCAAGTTTATTTTCTCAACAATAAGGTTTTATTATTTTAATTTGGTCTTATTTTAAATAAATTTTAAATAAAATTATAATAATTTTAAATAAAAGTTTGAAAAATAAATTTTAAATAAAAAATTATTTTAAAAAATTTATTTTATTAATAAAAAACCCTCATTTTTAAATTTGCTTTAAGCCCTAAAAGCTCTTGAGCCACCGCTGGCGGTACTGAGCCCCTCAAACAAAGGTGTCAGTCAGAGGTCGAGCTAGAAGGAGAGTGTGTGGCCTTTGGTGCACCCACGCTCATTGTTGGTGTCACCATCACCCTCTCTTCCTCAAGATATTTCTACTGCCCCATCTTCCACACTTCCAGTGCATCGCTGAACCATTCATAGCTTTCAACATATTCAAACACATTCATATTCACAATTCATCATGCCTTCCACACACACACATTTCATTTATCTCATATTATTCATTCTCAATCGAAGACACAAACATCCACATAATATTCAACCACACAGTTTTCATCACAATCTTCCGACAATCATTCATTTCATCACAAACAATACCTACCACATCTACCACATTTTACTCAAACATCAATCACACTATTTCTATTTTAACTTTACCAAAATCAAGTCATTTCATCATATATTGTACACAAACATACAACATTCACAATCCATATAGCGAGACTGCAACCTAGAAATGCACCTCTCTCTGTTGTCTTCTCGCTACATTGAGAATGCAACATAATCACTCATTTCTCCCAAGACTTGCTCGCTACAGCGAAGATCCTCTCGCTTTAGCGAGAACGCCACAAATCCATGCTCTACGCCCAAGGACTTCTTGCTACAGTGAGAATCCACTTGCTACAGCGAGAACACCCTTGCAATACACACTTAACCTATATTTCTAATCCAACCACAAGTACACATTCATCTCTCAGTCATATTATACAAACATATACATATCTATACGTATTTACACACATATTCACACCACCACTCAATACCCATCATCATCATATTCACATCCAACTCATCACATAATCAAATGCACATTCAAACATCGATTCACACACACACACACACACACACACACACACACATATATATATATATATATATATATATATATATATATATTAATAGTCAAACAATATTACAAAATTCGAGACGTTACAACATGTGTAGAATCTAATGCAACTAGAATCAAACAAAAATAATATCTTCATAAAAAGTTATAGCTAAAAGAGTTGACAAAGGTTAGATTGGCTAAAAATACAAAATTACAACTTCATGTAAAACAAGCTCAAATCATTTCGATTTATGAGAAATGGTAAAAACACTCAAAATAAGGTATATGAAGAGTGTTTTGAGGACAGAATAAAGTTATAAATGTGAACATCTCATCAAACCTTTGCCCTTAAGAAAATTCACACAAGAAAAATGGATCAATATCTTCTATCATTTGACAAAATTAAGGCTAAAGTTACTAAATTTAAATGACATGAACTTAGATGCATAAAATATAAATTGCATGAAATTTAAGTACAAACTATGTGAAAATGAATCAAATAAATGTCAAAATATATATTGATAAATACTAAAATATAACACTTATCAACCATCATTACCATCATCGTTCACATCCTCATCTTTACTAAACTCACTGCTTCCATATTCTCCTTTAGACTCGGAATTACCACCACCTTCATTGTTGACATTTATCAATTCTACCTCTATGTTTGGCATAATGCTTGCATATGCTTCTTTATCATCTTTTTTATCAATGTTAACTGCAATTTCTTTGAAAACAACATACAACTCAAAGGCAAGGATTGGAGGATGATGTTGTTGTGTATTTGAAACATTTGTAGAACATTAACATTGTTCGTTATTAGAATTATATCATATTGTATAAAAGCGTCAAACATAAGTGTTTGTAATAATCTCACCATTAAAGTATATTAATAAGAATCATTCATATTTCTCTCTACGATGAATTCATCATATATCTAAAAATCTTTCTTTCACTCACTTACAACTTACAAAGAATAAATAATTCAGTATTTATAGACACATTTTAAAAATCAATAATAACAACTTTTAATATTTTCTGATTATTTTATGTGGTTTAAAAGGCCAAAAGACAAGTTTTTATACTCTTTATTATTTTAAATGATTAAAAGTGATCAATTACGAGTTTTTATAATTTTTTTATTTTGTTTAACTACAAGAATCACCAATAAAAAATTTTTACATCCAAAATTTATTTATTTTTTAAATTCCACCTTTAGCGAGTCTTGATATTAATTGACATTTCGGTCACGTAAAAATGTCATTGATAGTAAAATTGTCAATGATGACTTTTACTGAAATTTCATACTCACGTAATATTTAAAATTTTTTCATATTTCTTGTATTTAAAATAAAAATTCATTTATTTAAATATTGTAAAATAAAAAACAATTTATTAAAATAGTGTATTTTTCAAACAATTTCCCTGTCTAGGGTTGGGGCGCACACGTATCGCCAAAACGGCTGGGAAACTTATTATTTTAATATTATAAAACAAGTTTCGCCAAACGAAGGGCGAAAGTTGAAGGTAATTTCGCCATTCACCCAGCGAAACATGAAAAAGTAGACACATTAGAGAGCGGTTCAGTTTGAACCACTCTCAGAATCTCATCTAAGAGAGCGGTTCAAGAATAACCGCTCTTAGAAGTGGTAATTAGTCCTCTTTCGCCATTTTTCCTGCGAAAACATTTTTAACGCAGATCTTTTGGCGAAACCTGGTATTATTTATTCCCACCCCTGCCCCCTCTCATCCGAGGCTCATTTTGCAATCGAAAAACAGGAACGAGGAAGGAGGAAGGAGGAAGGAGAAAGGTTAGTTTTATTTATTCAATTTTGGTATTATTTATATTTTTATATTATTTAAAATTAAATATTAAATAAAGTTTATTTGTAAAAATGCAGGATGAGTAGAATTGTTATTATTATATATTGGAATGGTAGAATATATGAAGGAAATGAAGGAGTGAGCTTTGATGGAAGTAAGAGAGTGATTCAGATACAGCGAGGAATAAGTTTTGAAGCCTTGAAAAGAAAAATTCATTTGAAACTTAATCTTAATAATAATCAAGTAATTTGTAGATTAATTTCTCGTTTTTTGATTGATGAAAATAGTAGACAATATACAGCTTTAGATATATGTGATGATGAAGATATTGATTGCATGATAAGTGCATTTGAACAGCAATCTAGTAGAAATGTTATTGAGTTATATGTAGACATTGCTGTTGATGGAAGTTCATCAGTGCCATTGCAGATAATCAATTTAAATTTATCAATTTCACAACAAAATGATAACACTGGTGTGAGTTGTGATCGTGTCGAAGGTAAAATTATAAATTATGTAAATGTTTTTATTAATATATGTCATATTTTGTATTGAAAGTGTAAAAATTTTTCCATTAAGGAGTTAGAAATGATGTTGATGAAGATAATGAAGATTCAGATTATGAGAGTGATACTGATGGAGATGATGAAGCAGATATTTCATTAGACAGTTCTTCCTCTACTAATGCTGAAGGTGAGTTTCATTCAAACTTAAATACACAAGTAAACGGAAGTAAAGGAGGTAATGTGCAATATTGTAAAAAATTATTTGTTTTTAGTTTAATATGTAAATATTAATGGTAAATAATTTTGCAAAATATAATGCAGGAGATACTGTGATTCCTTTTTGGAATGTTACTCGACAGTATAAGTATATTAATTGGGAATATCCTGATCAAGAAATGAATGAAGAACATTGTGAAGATGTCAATTCATTGGTTGAAGGAGATTATTTATTCGTTGGGTTGTTATTTGACAGTAAAGAAGATATGAAAAATGCATTAAAACATTATGCAATGAAGATTCATCAAAGTTATTTTGTGGCTGAGTCAAAACCAACATGTTTGTATGTTAAATGCTTAAACCATACTTCTGGTTGTCCATGGAGAGTGAGAGCTTCATTGTTGAAAAATTCAAACAAGTGGAAAATAACGAGGTGGGGTGGTTCACATACATGTGTTAATGTTAGAATTTCTCAAGATCATCAAAAGTTAGATTTCGATTTAATTTCTTCATGCATTCTTGGTAAGACATATTTTATATATGTTATTTAATTTTTTTTACAATTACATTGTTATTAATTAGACCAATTGATTCTTATGTAGGAATGGTGAATGAAGAGCCGTCAATACATATTTCATTGATACAAGAGAGAATCTACGCTCAGTTTGGATACAAAATTTCATATAAAAAAGCTTGGATGGCGAAGCAAAAAGCTATTGTCAAAGTATTTGGTGACTGGGATGAATCATACGCTACCTTGCCACATTGGTTAGAATACATGCAATTACATGCTCCTGGATCTGTTTATAAAGTTGAAACGAAGGAGTATGTGGCTTCTCATCAAGTGGATAACAGGTATAGAGTATTTGAACGAGTGTTCTGGTCATTTAAACAATGTCATGAAGCTTTTAAATTCTGCAAACCTTTATTGCAAGTGGATGGGACGTTCTTATATGGTAAGTATTGTCATACGTTGCTTATTGCAACAACTCAAGATGGAAACAATTGTGTCCTTCCAATAGCTTTTGCAATTGTTGAAGGAGAAACCTTGTCAGCATGGGAATGGCTCTTGGCATTGATTCGTTTGCATGTTACTGATAAGTCTGGAATTTGTTTGATATCAGATAGGCATCAAAGTATCAAAGGAGCTGTCTCAAATCCACACATTGGGTGGCAACCTCCAAATGCATATCATGTATACTGCATTCGTCATATTGCCAGCAACTTTAATCACCGATTTAAAAATATCGCCTTGAAGAAAGACCTCATAAAATTAGGTATGTAATTATAATTTATTTAATTTAGATATATGTTAGAGTTAATTAAATGTTTAGCCAAATTTAATCCACTGGTTTAAAAATAATGTTTTATGTGTAGGTTATACACCATCCAAGGTAATATTTGAGCAAAAGTTAAGTAGATTTCGTAATGAATCTGAAGATATACAAAGGTGGATTGATTGCATATCAAAAGAAAAATGGGCATTATGTTATGATGACGATGGGCGACGTTATGGTCACATGACCACAAATCTTTCAGAAGCTGTGAATAAGGTGTTTAAAGGTGCTAGAAATATACCCATAACTGCACTGGTTAAAGCCACATACGGACGTTTAGTTGAATATTTTGTAAAGCGTGGAGAAGAAGCCATATCTGACCTTCAAAATGGAAACATATTTTGTCGTACAGTAATGTTGCAAATACAAAAAAATCAACAAGAGGCTTCATCACACCAGGTTCGTAGGTATGATGTACACAGGAAAACTTTTGAGGTTAAAGAAGCATTTAATCCAATCACGCAAAGAGGTGGACACAAATGGACAGTTATATTAGATAGAAGATATTGCGAATGTGGAAGATTTCAGTCCTATCGATATCCTTGTTCGCATGTCATAGCGGCCTGTATAGCTGTAAGTCTTAATTTTTGGCAATATGTTGACCCAGTTTATTCAATAGAATATGTTGTCAATGCATACTCTCCACAGTGGCGCCCCCTTGGTAATGAATGCAACATCCATACAAACAGTGAATGGAAGTTGGTGCCTGACATTGAAAGAGCTAGAGCTAAGAGACGACCTAAGTCAACTCGTATTAGGAATGAAATTGACTGGGTTGAATCACAAACTAGACAAAGGTGTTCACGTTGTAACGAAGTTGGTCATAATCGACGTCATTGTCGTCAACAAAACTGAGTGTAATATGTAAAAGCAAAAATGATGTAATTGTAAAGATGAAGGATGTGATGAAATATTAATGCGAATGTTATTTACGCCACATACATTAGTTGTGAAAAGTTTTAAACATACAACAGTTTTACATCTCATGGCTAGTCTGCCATGTGTGCATGATGATCATGAACCTCTGGAGTCAAGATGCATTGCCTCTGTCTATCTCGAGCTCCTCGATGTGGATTTCGCCGAATCAGTCCAACATCGGCAACAGCCCCAAACTCAGCATTCAGATCAATCCCTAAATCCATCGGAGGCATGAAGGATGGATGGTATAGGGTCAGCTTCCATGTATGGGGCACCTGGAGTCAAAAGAGATTGGTGATCATGAGGAGGTGTCATAAAGAAATCAGGTCGTGGACTATAATCTTCTGCTCCTGTGAATGGTGATGATGGGGGCTGTGATGAATGGTGTCTTCCCTGTGATGAATGGAAATAAGTGGGGGCATTCTGCACATTGGATGTCTGGAAAGGGAACTATGATGGTATGGGAAAATACCATCAGGGCGTTCTGCCATGGCTGGAACGGACCACTCTGCTGCGTACACTTGTCGTCGTCGACGTCCCAAACCCTTTCCTTCTCTTCGTTGTTGTGGCTGATCTACGTGTAAGTCTGGATGTTGTGGATTGCCACTCTGCACTGGAGGATTTGAACATGAAACAGGTTCTAATATGCGATCATGCTCCTTTTTTAGTGATAGGAGAGTCTCAGACAAGTCCTTCAACTCTTCAAAGGTAAAACCATCTTGTCCATCAGTACTTAAGTAATGCAATCTCTCCATCGCATCACCCTGAAAATGAAATGAGTTTAACATATTTGTATATACAAAATTGTCTCAATAATTAAATAAAATAACAACATACCGATAGAGCTGATATGGCTGCATCCCTGGTCATCCAACGACGAGTGTGAGTAATATACCATCGCATGTATTCTGAATTAGAACTGAGTAATCCATACTGCATTTCATTAGCCATAACCCACAAGCGTCTACTCTCCCAAATATCTAAAATAGCACCGAATTTTGCTGACCAATTTTCTCTAGTCTTTCCTCGAAGGGTAAGGTCATGAAGCTGGTCAGGCTGATAAGGAGCCCTTGGTATATGCTGAACCATACCAAACTGACGCATCACTCGGTCCGGTTGATGCCACTCACAAACTTGAAAACATATAAGTGGCACAACCGCCCTCCATAAATCCATACCGTCTCTACAGATGGGTGGAAGCATGTTGATAAGTTCCATGTTGTATGGCACCCATATAATCTACATGAAAGAATAAAAATACGATAAACACCATTAATGTTATCTAATTTTATTTACCTATTTCAGCATAAATTAGGCTATATTACCTCATCACGTCGTACACGATCAAAGAGATATCTGTAGTACTGTACATCTTTCCTTCCTTTCCTCATTCCTTGTGACAACCATCTGCAAATAATGTTTAATAAAAATATTACATGATCGATAAATAACATTATATATAATGTATGCATAGACAGACAATAACAATAACAATAAAAACTTACCTGACACCGTACGGAAGATTGAGACGTGTATAGGGGGGATTACTAGGTGCTATATTAGGAAATCTATCCCAAGCCCACATCACAACCAACGCAGCAAGTCCTCCAATAGCAACACGATCAATGTTAGTGGCCATGCATAGCTCTCGGTACAAATAACCTAGAACTGCTGAGCCCCCCAACTATATTGACCGGTCAACTCAAAATCTTCAAGTAAAGGTAAGTATCTAACAGATACCCTAATGCTAGAGTGATCAGCAAGAATGAACCCTCCAATGAGCCTCAATATATATGCCCTAGCAAATCGAGTAATCTGCATAGGACTGTGATTATGCATACTAATATGAGTAAAGTGGATGTCTAACCAGCTTATCTTCAAGAAACTCCCTACAAAATGCTCAAGTCCTGGTCTGATACCTAAGCTGTCTTCCACAATCTACGCCCAATCACCTCCAGTAAGTGCTATAACTGGTCTCCCATCTATACGTAATCCTAACAGGATTGCAACATCTTGAAGAGTAATAGTACACTCTCCAGGGGGCATGTGGAAGGTATGTGTCTCAGGCCTCCACCTCTCCACTAATGCAGTAATCAACCCCACATCTAGGGAAAACTGGGATAAGTTAGCCACTCCAATAAACCCTACTAACTCCAGATGAGGAATAATTTCTTCAGGAACACCCTCTAGTCCACCAGGAATATTTTGACTTTTCCTGACCCTCAACGTCGGATGATCACGTCCATCCCAAACATGCTTAGAAACATGAATACTCTGAAACCGAAGAAGTGATAGATCTTCTGGATCAGGATTAATAACCCGACTCTGTCCTGAAGATGATGCCATCTATAAAAAAAAAACATATTAATATACGAGTGTGATTTAACTGATTTCATAATTTCTTTCTATTCTTATAAATATATAACTAATATAACATGACTAATTATATTATTCAAACATATTATATAAATTTTATTTTAAATTATGTATTAATACAAACATATTATATCATTTTTTATTTAATATTATCACTATTATGACATTATTTACCTATAATTTCGTTTTCAATTTTATTTATCATATACTATTTTTTTAAGTCTACAATAATTACATAATAACAAATTCTATATTTCTATACTACATAAATTGATAAATGAGTATCAAAATTTTACTAACCTTAATAAATATTTATCACTATTTTTTACTGTACTACACCCCCTGCATATTATAAAAAAAAATTAAAAAGTCAATTTTTTCAACTTTTTACATATTTTTAAAAATATATAGAACATAAATTAATAGATAAATATAATAATAATCATAATAATTACCTCAGATAAATGCTTTAAAACTTTAGAATTTTTACTACAAATAAAGCAAAAAGAACAAACTCTATACGAGGGCTAGTGACGGAAAGGGAAGTAGAAAAATCAAATGTGGAAATGGAGGAGAAGGGGGGAAGAAAAGAAGACGGGGCTGGGCGAAATAACATTCGCCACAGCAGTTGCGAAATTTCCATGACCGTTGATTGTAATTGATGAATTTATTTTTACAAGTTTCGCTCTGTATTTGACGAAACAAGGTCAGCTTCGCGTCGATTTTGGCGAAACTGTCACGGGATTAGAGAGCGATTCAAAATAAACCGCTCTCTAAGAGGACTTCTGAGAGCGGTTCTTGTGAAACCGCTATCTTAGTAGAACTTCTGAGAGCGGTTCATAATGAACCGCTCTCTAAGTTTACTTCTGAGAGCGGTTCTTTTGGAACTGCTCTCTTTAATGGACTTCTGAGAGCGGTTCTTTTGAAACCGCTCTCTTTCATGGACTTCTGAGAGCAGTTCTTTTGGAACCGCTCTCTAATGCTCCTACGTTCTTCAACTTTCACTCTTCGTTTGGCGAAACTTATTTTATAATATTAAAATAATAAGTTTCGCCAGCCGTTTTGACAATACGTGTGCGCCCCAACCCTAAACACGGAAATTGTTTGAAAAATACACTATTTTAATAAATTGTTTTTTATTTTACAATATTTAAATAAAAAAGTCTTTTTCTTGAAGATCTTATTCTTTATCCGAAACCGGCGGTCAGAAAAATAACTGACTTTACTGCAACGAAAAATCGATTGTTAATAAATCGAAAAATCATTAAAGCTGTAAAAATTGACCGACTGTTTACGGTGAAAAATGACAGTTGTAAACAAATAATCCAAAGATCAATCTGGGGACTGGATTTAGGTCCTCTTTGGGTTCTTTTAAGTGTGTTGTTAATGTGATGCTCAGATTAACGGCGTAAAAGAGTATTAAGCAAGAATAGTGAATAATAAATGTGCACAATTAAATCAAACGTAGATGCTTTTACAGAAATGTAGCAAGTCGGAACTAAACAACATACAAAGACATAAGTAACAAGAACTGAAATTAAAATGCAGAAAGGTAAATGTAGGAATGTAAAGGTGCTGGAATGTAAACGTACGACTCCTCACAACGGCGAACAACGGCCACCGTAGGTCTCCTTGTAGCTGGTGTCTGGCGCGGTGCAGACTTTCAGCGTCTCAGAGTGTTTAGGTGTGGTGTCTGGGTGCAAAAAGTCGTCCTTTGTGAAATAATGCTTTGTAGTATTTATAGACATGAAGATCACCACCGTTTTCCACCTTTTACGGGCACTTCTTAGTAACTGCCTTCAACTGTTGATGCTCACTATCCACGATTGCTTGTGATCGTGCTGTTTGTTGGAGCTGTAACCGCTATCGCCCATGATCTCCTTTGCGTAGTGGTGAATGTTGATAACTACTGGTAACCGCTTTTGGATTTTTCAATACTCCTATCTTTCGAGTATTTCTGAGAGAAATCTAGAAAAACTCTTTTAATGTTATGGCCTTGGAATAGTTTCTTCTTGACTTCTCTTTTCGAGCTATTCTGGAGTTTTGAGAGTTTGTCTGGGTCTTGTAGACTTAGAACATTTTCTTTGCTCATTTCTATTTTTCGAGCAATTTTGGAGGGACTCTTGAGCTCGACCAGATTTGTGGACTTAGAATATTTTCTGACCACTTCTTGTTTTTCGAGCGATTCTGAAGGAAATTTGGAACTCAGTCAAGTTTGTGGACTTAGAATATTTTCTTACCACTTCCTGCTTTTCGAGCAGTTTTGGGTGTCAGGTACTTGAAAACTCATCAAATATTCCTCGAAAAGCCATCAGTTTTTTGTGGACTTAGAATATTTTCCTGTTAGTCCTGTTTTTCGAGTAGCTTTGGGTGTCAGGGACTTAAAAACTCCTCAAAACTCCTCGAAAAACCATTAGTTCTGTGGACTTGGAATATTTTCTTGCCAGTTCTATTTTTCGAGTAGTTTTTGGTGTCAGTGACTTAAAAACTCCTCAAAACTTCTCGAAAAAGCCTTTAGTTTTGTGGTCTTGGAATATTTTCTTGTCTTTCAAGCAGTTTAG